CATGTCGCAGGCCGCCGGCAAAGGGTTCTGCTCCTTTCTACCCGGTCACGGAAATGCCACCGATCACGGTCACAGTGGACTGTTTATAGGGCGGAAGCGATTTACAGGGCTCGGCAGCATCGGTCGCCGCCCCACAAAAATGCCAGTTCGCCTGAGAAAGCTGGATCCTTGCCTAAACAGCTTCAACACCTCCAGCACGCATGTGACCTGCCACTACTACCACGCCATCCTGTGCCGAAGCATGTTTGTGACACACATGTCAGAAAGAGAAATTACATGAAATTACTATTTTGAGGTAAACATAATTTAATACTTATAAAGTTAAACAGTTTAAATGTTTAACAAAACTGTTAACGCTTCCTTATAAAGTTAAAACAGAAGGCTGTATTCTATTGGGGTTTGAAGTGGCACACGGCCTGCCGACCAAAATGTCGCGTTGCCTTCGGTTCCAACGTTCGCGGGACGGAACATCAGGTTTGTCAGGAACTGCGCGGTCAGGACATTGCGCTGGAAGAAACCTGGCGAAACCTGCGCAACAAATCAGCCGCAAGGCGAAACCTGTGCAACACGTCAGCAGTCCCTGCGTCACCGGTATAACTGCCAACCGGTGACGCTGCCAATCTGGAGCTTCGACACCTCCATCATCCAGTCAGTCCGGGTGTTTCGTCGTCAGTCGGGTGACCGTCGCGGCTCGGACGGGCGGAGGACGGAAGAGGTGTAAAAGGAGACTGTATTATACATCACCCAGGACCACCAATGACTGAGGGGGGGGTGGTCATGGGGGAGGTGGGTTAAGAGTAAAAGCAGCTGTATATAGCTGTAGATGCGAGAGTTTCCCACGTGTTGGCCCACCCGACGAACCTTAAGTTTAGAGTGGAGAGCCTCAAGGGGGACGAGAGAATTTGTGGGTTGTGAATTTCTGGAGAAGCTTAAGTTTAAGTGGGTAAGTGATGGTAAGTGGGAACCTTGGTCCTCTGATTGTTCAACAGAGTCTGCAGAAGACGCCAGGACAGCGGACAGGTTTGCATCAAGAATGCCAAATCTGCGCAGATGGGCGGTGGTTTCTTTGCCCAGCAACGCCTTCAGCTGACAAACCATTCAACACTAAGCATTCAAAATGTGCTTGCTGGCAAGTTCGGTGGAGGATTCACTTCCTTGGGAGAGCTTGAGATAGCTGGGAGTTCGACAGTGAAGATTTCCAACTGCCAGGCAGTCACTGGAGATGGCGGAGGATTCGCCAGTTTAAAAGGTATGACTGTCTCCAGTGGTTCGACTCTCACCATTCAGAATTCCACGGCTGGTCAGTTTGGTGGAGGTTTCCTTGCAATTGACGAGGTTGTGATATCTGGAATGTCAAAGATGAACATTCTTGATGCGGTAGCAGGAGGACAAGGCGGTGGCTTCTATTTGGAGAAGCGTTTGCAGGTGGCAAGCAACTCAACACTCAACCTTGAAAATGTAAAAGCCGGAACACGTGGTGGAGGGTTTAATGCCCTTGGAGAGGTTGACATACATGGAAACTCGACAGTGAGGATAGCCAACAGCCAGGCAGTGTCCGGAAGCGGGGGAGGCTTTGCTGCAGAACGTGAACTAAAAATCTCAAATGGTTCCACCCTCATCATTGTGAATGCGACAGCTGGCGGAAATTTAGGTGGAGGATTCCGCGCCAAAGGCAAGGTTGTGATGAGCAGCTCGACAGTCAGCATCCGGAATGCTACAGCTGCAGGGTTTGGTGGAGGTTTCCTAGCTTTTGACGAAGTTTTGATCGCTGAAATGTCAAATGTGAGCATTTCTGATGCAGTAGCAGTAGCCGCACAGGGTGGAGGCTTTCAAGTGGACAAGGGTTTACAGGTGACAAGCGGCTCAACACTAGACCTTGAAAATGTGAAAGCTGGCAAACATGGAGGAGGGTTGTTTGCCCTTGGAGAGGTTGTGATAGCGGGCAACTCAACAGTGAAGATTGCCAACAGCCAGGCAGTGTCCGGAGACGGGGGAGGGTTGCTCGCGGAAAAAGGTCTAGAGCTCTTTGATGGTTCTTCCCTCGTCATTCTCAATGCAACAGCTGGAGACCATGGCGGAGGATTCTGGGCTGGTAGCGAGGTTGCAGTGAGCAAATCAACCGTTCGCATTCAGCATGCTACAGCTGCAGGGTTTGGTGGAGGCTTCAATGCGTGGTACGGTGTTGTGTTTGCTGACATGTCAAATGTGAGCATTTCCCACTCAGTGGCAGCACGACAAGGCGGTGGCTTCTATGTGGAGAAGCGTTTGCACATAACAGGCAACTCAACACTCAACCTTCAAAATGTGAAAGCTGGAACACGTGGTGGAGGGTTTAGTGCCCTTGGAGAGGTTGACATACATGGAAACTCGACAGTGAGGATAGCCAACAGCCAGGCAGTGTCCGGAAGCGGGGGAGGCTTTGCTGCAGAACGTGAACTAAAAATCGCCAATCGTTCCACCCTCATCATTCTAAATGCGACAGCTGGATCTGGTGGTGGTTTCAGGGCTGCTGGCAAGGTTGCCATGAACAACTCAACAGTCAGCATTCAGCATGCTACAGCTGCTAGTCTTGGTGGAGGTTTCCTTGCAGCAGACGAAGTTGCGATTGCTGAAATGTCAAATGTGAGCATTTCTCACGCAATAGCATCAGAACAGGGCGGAGGCTTTCAAGTGGCGAAGCGCTTCCAGCTGACAAACGGCTCGACACTCAACCTTGACAATGTGAAAGCTGGCAAACATGGAGGAGGGTTGTTTGCCTCTGGACAGGTTGAGATACTTGGAAGCTCGACTGTGAAGATTTCCAACAGCCAGGCAGTGTCCGGAGATGGGGGAGGCTTTCGCGCATACAAGGAAATCGAAATCTCCAACGGTTCCACCCTGATCATTGTGAATGCAAAAGCTGGAGGTTCTGGCGGCGGATTCTATTCCCAAGAGAAAGTTGCAATGCGCAGTTCCACAGTCAGCATTAGCCATGCCAGTGCTGTCCAAAATGGAGGAGGGTTCAATGCCCTTGGAGAGGTTCAGATCGCCGAAAGCTCGACAGTGCAGATTGATAACAGCCAGGCAGTCACCGGAGGCGGGGGAGGCTTTGTCGCAGAAAATGAACTAGAAGTCTCCAGTGGCTCCACCCTCATAATTCTCAAGGCAACAGCTCGAGGAAATGGTGGTGGATTTTATGCTAGTGGCAAGGTTGCAATGAGCAACGCAACCGTCAGCATTCAGCATGCTGCAGCAGGACAGCATGGTGGAGGATTCTATGTTGCAGACAGCATTGCACTTGCTGCATGTACAGTTGCCATGTCCGGCACCTATGCGGGAATAGATGGTGGTGGGTTCATGGTTTTTGGCGGGCTGCTGACTATTTACAATGGCTCAATGTCCATGGCCAATTCTACCACCATGCGGACAGGCGCTGCAGGCCGTGTGTACGGCCTGGTGCTTCTTTCATCTCAGTCAACAGTAGATATTCATCAGGCAAAAGGTGATGAAAGCTCAAGCATCCTGGTAGCACGCTGCCTCCAATTACATCCAAACTCAAATCTGGTCCTCAAAGACATCAATGGTGGGCATGGGGTGGACTTGCAAAACAGCGGCTGCTCCCCTCTTTGCAGCAACACCACGTTCCAAGTGGCAGATGGCGCAGCCCTGAATGCAACTGGTCGCTTGAGCTCAGGTCTTCTGTCAGTAGAAGCCTGCCCTCATGAAGAGGTGCGCCTCTCGGGCATTCATTTGCACTCTTGGAATAGTTCACTCCTCACCACACGCCCCAGCTATGTGGTGATCAACGATGTCGACATTCACTACCAGCCACCGGTCGACAATCTGCAGATCCTAGATGCTGAGGAAGGTTTTTGTCCCGGGTTTGACAAGGGAACATGCACCTCTCAAAGTGTAATCAGTCAGCTTCGGAACAAGTATGTAGTCTGTAGCTACATACTTTTCAACATGTTTGAAGAAACAGGGCGCAGAGATAGACCTTGGAAGTCCTGTTTTGACGTTAGTCGGCTTGCCGCGCTTTTGTTTTTCGCGGTCGGACGTCTCTCCAGGATGGATTCGACGTCCACTCTTTGGCTGTGTCCTGCCCAGATTGCGCACAGGGAGTTACCTTCAAATCCACCCAGCATGGAAGAGCGGTGGTCGCCCTCAGCCCTGAGAGTCTCCTGTGCCCTGACACCGTCACATTGCTGCTTGGTACAAAACAGCGTAGGAGAGGCGAAACAGAGCATGGAACCTTCGGTAGGAGAGCCCTGAAGCCATTCAGATGCGTGTTTGCTTTAGCCTGTTCCGTTGCGCGTTTTGCCTTCAATCCGGTGAGCTCCAGCACTGACCTCGTATCCTCAAGGACCACCTGTACCGAACCTAATGTGTTTTTCACAAAAACTCTTTGATGTCCAGGCTCTGGTCGTTGGCCAACGTTTTGGGAGGCCAGCGACGTTTTCTTCCCCTGAAACCCTCCCAGGTCCAAGGGCTTGACAAGGCGGTGTGAATGCAGCAACTATCAGATTCTTGGTTTGAAAGGCCTCTTCCTGCTGTTGTGGTTGTAAACTCTATGCAGATATTCCTTGAGCTTCTCATGTTGCGTGTGATCTTTTGGTTGCCGAAATGTTCAGTCAACCTCGTCTTCAATTGATAGTTCAAAGGCTGACTGGCTCTTTTTCGTTTGCAAAAAGGGGCCTCGCTTGGTCATGGCACCTCCAAGGATCACCAGTGAGCGCTTTCGCGATGAACAGGAGGTGGCTCTGGAAGAGACGTTCCAGACCTGCAGGGCTTGCAACTCGCTCCAAGGGACCAAAGAAATACCAATGGCAGATGATGCCCGAATCACTACTATAGCTTCTTGTTCCGTTTGTATATCATGGCCTCCAACCGCCCCTATTATAATGGTCTCCACCCGCCCCTAGCGGCGATGGCCGGGCCGTCCTCGGCTTCTGCTACAAAGTCCACACTAGCCACACTAGTTGTTTTTCTCCTTTTTCCTGGTCACCAACTGATAAATTGAGGCCACAGACACTCTTACTTCCAGGATGGCATGTGTCGCCCTTGTCAGATCTACCGAGCTTGGTCTGATGGCAAACGTGACGTGTGCCATTGGCTGCCACGCGAAAGTCCAGAGCGCGTAATCCTGTTCACGGGTGCAGCCGTGTTCGTGATCCTGACCTTCATCGTGTTTGAGGTCCTCCACGCTCCATTGGTGATTCTTGACGCCAGGTCTGATTTGGAAGACCCGTCGGACATGGCAGCCAAGAGGATCTTCACCATCTCAGTGCAGGGTCCTATCACCAGCCTTCCCAAGAGATTATCTCGACTGGTGCACCAGAGAGTGCATTATCGTGCAAGGGGAACTGGTTTGCAATGGCTGGATTTTGATCCGCAAAAGTGCAAGGCAATCAAGGTTTGCAGTGTGGCACAGAGGAAGCTTTTGCTTCAAGATGCACACGTGCCATTTGATTGCGCTTCCTGCAGTGGGTCCCTGCACGCTACTGAGACTTGCTTCCTGTTCATGCTGCTCATTGCCATTGTATTTCTCGTTGCAATACTGCCCACCATTATCAAAGTCGCAGTCATGTCCGGAAACCGCATCGAACATACCATCGTCACTTGGAAAAAGCGGAAAGTGGAATCTTTTACTTTTATGTGTGTTTTGTATATGGACTGCACTCAAAAAGCTCTACTCAAAAATTTTAGATAAACGTAAACTTTTAGGGTTGGAGATGAGTTTTAAGTCTTCGTTTAGAAGCGGGCCCCCAGCAGACTATGGTGATACAGCAAGGCAGCGCTAGATTGGCGCTAGGTTTCTTCATAGCAGGATAAGCAAAGAAGAAACCAGCAGAGAGCAGGAAAAGAAGAAGCAACACAAGAAAAAGGAAAAACAAAGAAGAAGAAGAAGAAGAAGAAGAATGCACAACCAGAAGAAGACAAGCAAGCAGGAAAACTAAGAACCTGACAGGATGAATAAATCGACGGATATTTTTGCGCTAGGCTGGCGCTAGATCCGCGCTAGCACCGCGCTAGACGACGGTCCATTTCTTGACCATCTGCCCATCCAACACCTGAATGTTTTGAGTCAGCTCTTACGTCCTTCCTATGTCGTTCCGAAGACTTCTGAGAATTGGAAACAACTGCAGAAGTCTAGCAGCAGCAGCAGCAACAACAACAACAACAGCTCCAGCAGCTCAACAGGCCCCTGAAAAGGTCCGCGCTAGACACCTCTCACAATTTTTGCAGTTGACATGCCTTCATATTGAACATCCCTGTGGTTTGAGTGTGGTTGGAGTTTAAAGGAGATTTAGAAGCGGGCCCCCATGGAATTGCGATGAGTGCACCATTTTGGGAAAAGACATTTTGGAAACCAACCAATATAGTCTACTGGGTTTACTTGATTGCACCCTAGAATTTTTGAAAAGGTCACTGCGATATTCTATTTTGCTCTTCCAATGGCGGTTGTGGCTGCAGTGCTGCACTGGCCGATGTCCTGGGTTCTTCAACGCCTGTACCGTCGAACGCCCTTCTCAGCAGCTTTGGGTGACTACCAGAAACGAATCCACTGCAAACCTCATCCAGGTCCAGATGAAACCCATCCTCGCAACCAGGGCCTGTTGGTCCTTACACTGCGCGGATTGTGGAAGCACTTCGAGAGTTTCTGAACCTTCTTATCAGCTAAGCTTTCACGTTGGGTTGTTTCATGTACATATGAGCCACGGTCAAAACATGCGAAGACCACTTTAGTAAAGAGGGGTAGGTTTGTGCACAAAACCCTGCAAAACGATAAGGTCCACCTCAAAACCGATAACCCCAGCGCTGTATATGGTCATAAGTATGCGACGAACTCAAAACGCTGTAAAACGATAAGGTCCACCTCAAAACCGATGACGTCCATTTTTTAGCTGAAGAAGAATAAGGAGTTTTGACCGTCCCTCATATGTAGTCCATTTAAGGTGCATGATGTTGGAAGAAATTCGATGTTCCAACGACCATGATGACGATCGATCTCGATATGCGAAGCCTCGTGAGGCTTCATTTTGGAACGGAATATGCACTTTGTGGTGGCCAATATTGTAAGGCAGGGTTGCTCTCAGCTGATTCAACAGATGGGAAGGGGCCCTCCAAAAGGCAATTTACCAAAGACGTACCAACTTGACATTTGGATACTGGGTCTTTTGAATATCCCTGCAAGGCCACTGACACAGAGCAAAGGCGTGTCCTTCGTGACTCTTTGGGGTGGCAGGCAGGTGGACTACTTTGTGTCCCTCAGCTGATGTAAAGCTCATGGGTGATGCTGATTGTGCAAGACTGTAACGGCCTGCTTTGCTTGCATAGGCTTCAAGGGGGGGAATGGCGGCACTGTGGCTGGTAGACATTTGAGCAAAAGCTTCATGCAAAAGCAATGACTGTGATCGCTATGGTGCTGGCTCAATGTCTTAAGTTTTAAGAGAGTTTCCAAGCATCTTCGGAGTAACAAATAGATCCTGGCAAACAACAAAAATGAAAATGGTAATGACTTTATACTTCACTAGCGGAGTTGGCTCAGATGTTGTTGCATCCTACACTCCAACTCAGACTCGCCGGAGGCTATTGTGGACGGTATGGCCACAAAAGGACGATTCTTACTTTCTACAGAGAGAGAGAGAGAGATGTATATTCTACAAATTCTGCCCAGAGTCACATTTGGACTCACTGCAAGTGTGTTCTACCCAGTATTTGTAAATGCAATATAGTCTTCTTGGGCCATGCTATCCACCATGGGCCCTGTGAACATGCGGAACGTGCATGTAGACGATCAGTACCCAGCAGAGCTGAGGTCACACTCGTGGGGCACGAGCTTCTCTCACTTTGTGCGCTCCATCCGCTGCCATGCCTTGTCCAAGGAAGGCCCTACATCTTGGATCGACGCAGCCTATTGGATTTGCTCCTTTGCCACTGGGAACTGAACTTTGATTTAGATCTTAAGATGTGCTTTTCAGATCAGTTCTAAATGAAGCTAGGTGAAGGAAAGTATGAAAGAATGACATGTTGCAGTCTTTTCTATGCAGCAACAGAAAAGGAACGTATTGTTGGGGTTCCTCCCCTTCCTCATTGCTTTCAGTTTTCTGTCCAGGCCAATAACCAGTGGAATATCGCAGCCGAATTGGCGGATGATCCGATGGACAGCGCTTTTGCAAGGGCCTTGCGGGGCGGAATCAAGGGAGTTGCCATGGTTTTGGATCACGAGGTGCAACCGCTGACGCGAGCCTCGACCGCACACCGCTCACGTCAACCAAGCTGCATGTGGCACAAATTCCACAGACGATGTTCAACGACCAACCAGCCACATGTCAGAGTCCTGTATATGAGAATGGGTGCAGACGGTGTCCGAAAACGGGCGCGAAAACGGGGCCGATTGTGACAGGATCCGCGAAGCTTCTGAAATACAATATATATATATATATGTTCAACGAAAAGTCTCAACCCGCCCATAAAGAACAAATAAAAAACACCTTCAGCCCAGGAGTTTGGTGCTTGTTCGAGTTCCTCCTGTCCAGTCGGGAGCAGCTGGAGCTGGTCTTCACTACTGACATGGGAGTGGTGGGCGACGAAGCTTCCATCGGAGTTGCACAAGGTGTTTTTGTTTCCTCTTGCAATCGACTGCAATAGCACTGAGCTCGCCAATAAGCGCTCTTGTTTGTGCGAAACGTTCCAGTGACCGTTCTGAGGACGGCTGCGCTTCGTTTGACATCGCCTTCGAAGTGGGCAAGAAGATTCGATGCCTTCAAGTGGCGAAGTGCCAGGCATCCAGTGATGAAGACAAGACACTTGCTTCAACACATGGTGGGGGTTAGAGGACGCTACTAGGAGCATTTCGGGCATCGCTACTAGGAACAAGGACACTACGAACGGAGCAAGGGTCACAACACATAGGACGCCATGGCACCAAAGACCTCAGACACGACGTGACACCATGGGATCAGTAAGAACGTGGGTCAGCCATCGTTTCAAGAACGCCATCCAGCCAGGGCACATGGGATCGGAGAGCCATCCTGTCCACGAAAGGTGTGTTTTGTGGGGTTTCATCATGAGCCTTGGACGCAACTTCTTTCAATGAGAATCAGGAATCTTGGTTCAGCCTTCGAAGAAGTGGTTGAAGTTGGTTGTACGGTCCAGGTGTAGCTTACCATGCAGGTACAGTTTGCTTCGTAGTTCTGGGACCATCAGTATTTGTCGGAGATCTGTAAACCCCATATCGCACAGTGTTAGGTAGGAAACTCTGCACCAGTGAAGGCTATTTTGGACCAATGATTTGAGTGATTTGTTCTGCGTTCAGCTCCACAACGAGGAGAAAGATCTTTGAATACATCATCAACACCTTGGGCAGTTTGGAGAAAATGGATGACCAAATCAGACATTTGATGGGAGAGATGCTGAAGAAGAACTTGGCAAATGTGGGAAGTGCAACTGATACCCTGCGGCATAGGCTGCGTCGAAGGTAACTATATCATGTTGTCAATTCAAAGGTTGCTTGCGGTGTGTGTGTGTGTGTGTGTGTTTGTGTTTTTCCGGGAAAGCGCAAGAGTCGTGACCCCATGGGAAGCCTTTTTAAGAGCCTATACTGTAGCTTCCAAATCCATTTTTGTCAGAGTACGCACAAGGTCGTCACTCTTCCAATTTGCTTAGTGTTTCCTGACCCTACATGAGCAACCAGCCAGGGCGCGCCGCAATTGAAGGCTTCTTATCTTGAGTGATGTTCTACGTTCGCTTCTTGTTCCTAGTAGTAAGGCACCTGTTACTACTAGCGTGGCACTTGTTACTAATAGCTTCTTGTTCATTTGGCAGCCTCAGGTTGGCCTAAATTGATCGAAGTGTCTTGTGACTGGCTCGGTTGCTCGACGGGCGTTGATGTCATGCTGCAACCCCAAGTTTTGATCCATCGACTTCATTTAGACACCGCCAGAGAACAACTGTGGCTCCATGTGATGTTGAGATGCTTCCGCTTCACAAGAACTTCCGTCTGTTCCATGAAAACCTGCCACCGAAGCTACGAGCTTCAAAAAATCCTGGCATTACTACTTACTAGTAGCCAGAAGCTACTGGGTTGAAGGGCAACGCTGCTAGGGTGGAGGCCATCGCCATTAGGTTGGAGGCCATTACTACTAGTAACAAGAAGCTACAAGTAGCTCCTGGACGCTGGGAAGAGTAGTTGTGGACCATTGTCGGCCTGTTTTGTGTGGGCGTGTTCGGGACTGGCTTGGATGCATGCAATATGTTAATGGCAGAGCGTTCGACAGCGTTTCAATGGTATTGCTGCGATTTCGAGTGCCCAAGCAATCTTCATAGGGTGACATTGATTTCTTGCAGGAGCAAGTGTTCAGCTACGTACCTCAGATATCTTAGCCACGCCAGATCATCTTAACAAATGATCCACGAAGCGTTTGGTAAACTGCATGAAAGCCGGTATTCAATCTTCATGTGCACAACCTACAAGCAGGAGGATCTGGAACATGTGCGCTAACGGCTAGCCATCATTTCTAGACCCATCACCGCCCACATCCAAGTACAATCGGTGCTATGACGATGTTCCTCACGGTCTTGGCAGCGCTGAGCTGCGCATCCCGCACCTTTGCTGAGCTGCGCGGCGGTTGGACAACGCGCGCCCAGCCTCGCAGCTCGGAGGTGTCCTTCGCTGGGAGCCGAAGGGTAGGGGGGGAGGGTCGATGGCCTCGCCTAGTAGCGACGGCCTCCAAGCCTAGTAGCGACGAGGGTCGATGGCGTCCATGAGGAAACTTCCAGACGCGAAAGAAGACACGAGCCGCCGCAAGCTGCTTGTCACGTCGCTGGGACACAGTATATACTTGCGGAAGCAGCGGCATATGTCGCCATGTTGTATGTTGGCATGGAAAAAAGGTAACCTCAATGAGTGTACTCCTGCCTTGCCTAGTGGGCCTAGTTTGCTAGTGCATTTGCCACTGGTCTCGATGTGAGTAGTGACCGCCTAGAGTTCTGCAACTACCAAGCTCGACAAAGTGTCCACTTGGTTGTTCTCTTAGACGAGCAACCTTTAACTTCGGATTAGAAACATCAAATATGCAAAGTGTTCCCCACTCATCATCCATGTTCTGAAGGAATTTCGTGCCACGGACTAAATTCTTGGATGTGTGGCTTCGCTGGCATTTGTGAGGTCACATGCCCGGATTGGTCAATGCTTCCGCCGCCCGACAACTGCAAGAGGCCCCCGAATCGGAGGGAGAGAGCCAGTGAGAGAGAGAGAGAGAGACATCAAACGGTGCAGTACCGTCCAACAAGTTCGTGTATCAATCTGCGGGAAAGAGTGCACCGCTTCATGAAAGAAGACACAGCCTTGATCGCGCCTTCAACCACCACAGGCTACCAAAACCGAGTCTGGGATGAACCACCGACTGACAACGACAGACCGTGATCAGCGTACAGGACAGACCAAGACGAGCAAAATTCACTCCAGAGAAGACCACCTGCCTACCTCCTACAACGGAACTTGAAGCTGAAAAAACAAAACATTGTTAGACAACCAGGAAATAAAGAGCGGGTATACACAGACAAGAGAGTTGAGAAATACTTTTTCTGCAGAGCATTGGATTGAAGAGACTGCCGGACAAAAACAAGAAGAAAGAACTTAGCATGCAAACTAC